TAGTAGTAGTAGTAGTAGTAGTAGTATTAATAATTTGTAGTAATAATTGTTTTTAATGAATGGCCAACAAATTATCACCTTTTTAAAAGTAGTTTTGAGATTAAGTAACTTTTATATGATTTTATAAGATTTCACTTTGCCACATGGAAATATAATAAAAATAAATATAATATAAACTGTAATTAATAGACAACAACAATAATAATAATAAATAATGCTAAATATGCATTGCTTCTTGGAAATAACATAATAAAGAATATAATATAATTGTCTAATTAATCAATTAATTAAATAACAACAATAATGATCATGTTTTGATGAATGATCAGCATATTATCAACTTTTTAAACCTAATTTAACCTTTTTTCTTTTAATGTATCTATACACCTTGTAGTGCAGTACTTTATTATGGTATCATATTTAAAATGTGCTGTCACAGCAGAATTATCCATTTTAATATTAAAAAAACACTTGAAATCTGCCTTCAACTATTTATTGAGACATATATTTTAGATAAATATTTTTTGGGGGCGGCTGTTTATTTATTTTTTGTTTGTTTTTTAGTTTTCATAGTTCCTTAATTTCACAGAGGACGATTTTTTTAATGTATCAGGTTCCTTGTTAAACCAGTGAAATGTTATGTTGTGCCCAGAAAAGGGTAATTACCACCTTCAGCCGCCTGTAATTTTACCACATTCAATAAGACACTATTGCTCTTGGTCTGTGGGGAAATTCAAGGAGAGCCTCACCGTAATCACTGTTTTAGCACGGCTGCTATTGATTATTTGATAGATTCTCAGAGCATGTCTGACTGTTGCTTGTCTCCGAATGGCAGAATGGAGTGGTGTCGCTCATTGACTGCACACTGATAGAGGAACCAGAGGGCACAGATGACGAGTGTACGTATCAAAACTCTTGATTTAATCTTAAACATATCATAAAATATCTGCAATAACAAAAGAAGGCTCACATTTTGACACTGATAAGAGACCTATATACTTACCCGCACTGATATTGGCATGTTATGGAAGTAGATTCAACCACAAATCTAATCACAACAGACCTCCGCTAGATTTATTCCAGAGGATCACTGCATTTTCTTTTTTCTCTTCAGCTAAGTCAGACAAGAGCGGTCAGGACATGGAGCACCTGGATTTTAAGATTGTGGTGGAGCCCAAAGACAGTCAGTCCTTCACCATCATCCTGGTGGCCTCCTCACGGCAAGAGAAGTCAGCCTGGACCAGCGACATCAGCCAGGCACGTCTGCTCACATCAGATAACACTGAGTGATCCACACAGCCCTGGGCAAGACCTTTGCCTTTTACTCGCATCCTGTGGTTCAAATACTGTCCTCACGCTCTTTTTTTCCCTATCTTTCTCTCTTTCACTCTTTACTACAGTGCATAGATAATATTCGTTGTAATGGGCTGATGATGAACGCCTTTGAGGAGAACTCTAAAGTCACTGTGCCCCAGATGATCAAGTAAGCACTTCTTCTGACACTGGAAGTCACTATGCTTTTGTAAATATGCAAATCACTTCTAAAAATCTGTGTCACATGTTTAGGTCTGATGCCAGTTTGTACTGTGATGACGTGGATATCCGCTTCAGTAAGATGATGAACTCCTGCAAGGTGTTGCAGATCCGCTACGCCAGCGTGGAACGCCTGCTGGAGAGGTTGACCGACCTGCGCTTCCTCTCCATCGACTTCCTCAACACCTTCCTGCAC